CCCCCAAAACCCCAAAACCCCAAAACCCCGAGAGTTATATTTGAGAGATAGATTAGGAGATATTAAATAATATATATTCAGAAAATAAAGCACTAGTTGGCTCCTCTATTGTTGATCATGTTCCACTTTAGATTTCTCTTCTTGGGGTTTTTGCCTGCCTATCTCTTATTATTCTCTATTTGCCCATAAGCGAGTTAGAAGGACTAGCAGAAAAGACAACTTCTCTTCTTTTTCTGCTTCTACCTCTCTATTAGTTTCTCTTTCTTCTGTATATTGATCTATTCCAATTCCTTTGCATCGAACACCAATTCATTGTCGTCTTTTTCATCCATGATCAGGTCCTTACTAATGAATAAAGTTAAATTGAATCAATAATAATTACGTGACAATCATTGTGTCTTTTCCCTTCTCAAACTGAATTTTGAATTTACTTGTTTCTTCTTCCTGTATTATGAAACCCTGTCCATGTTCTGTTTTAATTGGCTTGCCTGGGAATAGCTCCTTGATACTGGGTAAAATCTGCTAGAGATTTTTGTTTTGAAGATCTTTTCTTATGTAAAATAAGATATAGGCGAAATCCTTTTATATCTATTCTTCTGGAATCTAACTTCTTGCTGAGTCGTCGTATTTATACCATTTACCGTCATTGAAATTCTTTGTCAAACTTATGTAATGTCCAAAGGAAAGATTTCCATAATGGTTGATCATTGCATATAAGTCATACTTCTGCTCAATATCTTAGCTTTTGAGGAATTCCTAATCTGTGACAAAAGTGCTTACATCTAAATTGTAAAGTGGGAACTCAACCAAAGTATTTAGCTTATTTCTTGAAGTATTGCTGTACTTAAAACGCTTGAGCTGTACGATCAAGATTGGTGGTGGTCTAAAGATTTCTAATTTCTTCAAGTGAGCTTATGGTTCCTTACAACTACTGCAGTAGATATTATCTTTCTCACTAATCTCTTCAACCTCGTGGAATTTCCTTAAGCAATCTTCAAGATTTACGAAATCTTCGTCAATTATTTCCTTGTCTTAGGTTGAGGAGTGATGAATAACCTCATTTGCAGCAGGATTATAATCCTCCTCTATAATAGAAGAATGCCATTCTATTGCTAAATGGCAAAGCCTTGGAAAGTCCTCTATGAAAAGATTGGTTGGTGGAAGTATACATCCACTGCAAATTTTCATCCATGAGCAGGTTTAACATTAGTAACCAGACCTCTCAACAGTTTTCAAGACAAAGGGTTTGTATTATTATATTTCATCTGGTTTGAAATTAAGTTTTTCTTCCCAATTCTTTTGCTCCCACCATAAGTTTTTCTTATGATGGTAGATTGAGCTTTTCTTCAGAATATTTTATGCAACTGCCCAGATTTCTTCGTATATTCTTCTACCTGTTGGTTTTGCAGGCAAGATAAAGATGAAAGGGCTTGCTATTAGCTAAGGCTAATATGGATTGAAAAAGTAATAAGCCTTCTTTACAAATCTTCTATTATAGCATGCTACATATATCTCCTCAGGAACCATGCCCCTATCTACATATTCTTGATACTTATCCTGGATATGAAAATAGTTGTTGAAGAATGTGCATTTATCATATTTCTTTACTTGCTCTTTTGGTTGTTCCTTTTAACTTCTTGCACCTTTATTTTTCTTATTTGTAGAAGAGCTTTATGTAGTGCTAGTTTCAAAAGACTTTTCAGTTGTATTTAGCAGACAAGACAGATGGGGAGTCTTCATCATATCAAGCATACTATCATTAGATCTATAGAATTGTCTAATCACATCTCTTCCTCTGGAATTCAGCACTTCAATAGCCTCAATTTCGTTATTAAGAAGATTGTAATTTAGTAACTTTTACTCTGGATTGAAAATTCCTCTGAGTATTCCCTTAGTTTAAGAAAATAATACCAAACTCGACGTTCTCTAGCTTGGGTCAATGTTAACTTCCTTGATATCACAAATTTGCTAAATTATCGTAGCAATTTTTGCATCCCTCTCAACTCTAATCGCAATATGAATAGGTTGATCATTTGTAATGTATTTCAATGATTCTTATATCTTTGAAATCTTTGAGGGATTTCTCTCCAGGATTGTAGTGTTTCTATTAAAATCCTCAGATTTATTTGAATCCATGCGCTTAAATATCTCACTGCTTCTACTTCCTTGTAACATATCCTTAATTTCATTTGGTAGTCTGTAGATTACAACATTTAAAAGAATTTTAGAAGGTTCTGGCAATGAAAGTGGAATATTAGTGAAGATATCAAAAGTTGTTGATATTTTGTTGCATTTCTAGCAATTTAAAGTACTTTTAAGTTATCCGTAGAACAAGAAGAAAATAAATGACCAATCTCTTCTAAGTGTATTTGACCATTGCTCTAGTCCCAGTTCAACAATTTTTCTGTCATCACTATCTGGGTTTTCTACATAAGGCTTTTCCTATCTTAAATTCAACTCCTCATGCAGACCATCAAGAAGGAAAAATAAGAATTCTTAGGAATCCTACTGGTCATATCCTGCAAATTATTCACTTATAGATGCTAATGCTTATTTGAACTCTCTTGGTATTACTACTCTACCATTTTATTGATACATTTTTTGAAGCTACCAAATGATTAATACAGTTTACTAAAATTACAAGCAAGGCAAAATTAGACGCAAGCTCTCCTTAATGACCATGTTTGCTTTTTAAATTCATTTGCTTCAAGTATTTTCTCTCTTAGATGAAATATTCATAAAAGAACTTTGTGTTAGCTAAACATTAAAGAGCTGAATTCATATAGCAAGCTAAAAATGTAAAGAGTAAAATATTACTATTTCCAAGATTGTAAAGTCCGACAGTTTTCAAATTTTCATTTTATCTATTTAGAAGCATTTCATTTGGTGTGCCTGATTTATTCATAGTTGCAGCCATACTTCCAGAAGCAGGGCCTGCATTTAGTTTATCAGTTGGCCATTAGTTATTATTATTTGAATATTCTACATATATCAACTATCCCATAGTTATTCCGAACTCCTCAAGAGTTGTTTCAAGTTTAGCTCCACTGATAACTTAATCTTCAATCCATAATCTTCCTCGCTTGAAATTTTCTTTATATGTGACAGAAATTTCTCTCAAGACTTCCTCAAAGGTTTTCTTTCTTGATATCAATAGCTCTTAAAATGGTAATTTATCCTGCTTTAAAACCTTTTTAAGATAATTTGGGTCAATCTTATGATTAACTACAGCCTTTTAATGAGGTCTCTCGCCTTTATCATTGATCTTCTCATAATACATAAACTTAGGGTATACCTCCAACTCAAATGTGATATCACCTAGGGTTTTGAAGAAGGGATCTGGAACTTACTAAGAGGACCCAGCAATAATCATTGTACCAGTAACGGACTTTCTTTATTTGAAAAGGTTCAGTGACTTTTTCTTGTCAGATTTGTAACTGATGACTTTCCTTTCAATGACTTTAGTGCATTTATACCATTTTGATAAAGGATAAAATACATATCTCGGAACTAAAATAAAACCATCACCATATGATATATCTTTAAGTCTATTTTCATGAAGAGGTTCAAGCAAACTTAGATTATCTATTACATCTATTTTTTCTTTCTTAATGATGTAAGATTTATCATCCACGAAGCCAACATTCATTGTCCAGGCTTCATAGAACAGTTTATCAACAATATAAAATGTATCTTCCTCTTCTAAATGATCCTGAATATAGCCTTCAAGACTATGGTTATTATTTAGAGCACTAAGTATAGATTCTCTTTCGGTTTCTATATCTTAAGGATGGAGACCCATCATTGCTGTTAATATGTACTTTGATTTTTCATAGATAGAAAAGTCTAAGTTTAAAGGAAGAATATCATCAATAAAATCTTATTATGTCATTGTAGTCCCTCTAGGAGCGAAAAAATTCTGACCAAGTTTAAATATATCAGAAAAATCTCTCATTCCCTTTCTATTATTTATTAATTGTAAAATTCTGCTACCTTTTTATTTAATCAGTATGATTAGAGAATAGATCAAACAAGAATACAATTTTCTTTTATGTGTCAGTTTCTTTGCATATAATTTAGGCCATGTTACTTAAATATTTGAAATCTAATACTTTCTTTCCTAAATTTAAACAAATAGCGATATTTTACATATTTTGTGAGTGCTTCGACAAAGTACCTCTTAAGTTTTCCAACTCTTATATCTTTGAACATCTGCTAGATAGTTTTTAGTACTTCCTTTGCATCACTTTTTTTTAGTTCCTTATTAAAAAACTCCTGCATGCTGTCGAATTCAGTTGTGTCAAAACCTAGATTTTCAGTTTCAGTTCTTGATCTTTCATTTGATAGCACAGTCAGCTTTTTTGAAAAATCACTTGCCTTGGCAATTGAGTCATCCATGTTCATATTTTCTTTAGAGTATCCATCGATCATTTACTTGACCCAGGTGAATAAAGGCAAGTTTTAAACTTTTTTAAAAGCAGAAACAAATTCCTCTACATTTATACAATTTAAACATCATTTTCTTACCTCGCTTTATTGGAAGTCTTGGGTCGAATTCGGTCTTTGCATAAAAGGTCTGAATTTGCTGTTCATTAATATCTACTAATTTCTCAACAAATGAGACTATATGCTCTCTGGCAAGGATATCTGACGGTGAGTTAATTTTCATCAATTCAAAGCAGATTTACCCCATCTCTTCCGGCCTTCCATACTTGAATACGATATAGCACGCTAGCAAATCCTACGTTCGAATAATTAGAATAAAACACTCAACAAAACAAATCAAATATATTTCTGCTTTAATTACTTACATCAAAGTTCAAAACTTCTGGTATCTAATCTTCTGAAGTAAAAAGCTGCATTATTTTCAAGGCGACGCTCTCATGAACTTAAGGGCCAAGAACTTCTAAACGAAATTGGTAATCATTTATAACCTAAAATTCATCATATTGTGAGATTCAATGCAGCATTATTCAGTATGGAATTTGAAATTGGATTAGTAAATATACTAACCTGTCTATCTTAGATACGATCAAATGCATCCTTCAGATTCTGCCGATCCTACTTAGATATTCTACCATTAATACTACTAAGTTTAATTTATCTTCTCTTTGCCTAACTATTTCCCATTAATACAATCTATAATTTATTTTCTAATTTCTTATTATCAATATTCTTCACAACATTTACCCTATGGGGTTTTGGGGTTTTGGGGTTTTGGGGTTTTGGAGCTAGTA